CTGTCCTTCTCCATGTAGAGCAGCCTGCAACCCCCAGCCTTGCTCAGGCAAGGTTGTGGCACCAGATGCTGCCTGCATATCTCCAGCACAGACCATTTATGCTTCCTAGTTGTGTGTTCACTTGACACAAGCTGTTGTCATCTGAGAAGAGGGAACTTCATTTGGGAAATTTCCTCCAGGAGACCAGAATTAAGGGAAGCCTGTAGGTCATTTTCTTCATTAGGGATAGATATGTGAGGGCCCAATCAGTTGTCGTTGATGATACCTGTGTTCTAGTACTGTAAACAAAAAAAAAAGAAAAAGAAAAAAGAAAGGAAGGAAGAAAGAAAGAAAGGAAGGAAGGAAGGAAGGAAGGAAGGAAGGAAGGAAGGAAGAAAGAAAGAAAGAAAAGGAAAAAACAGGTCGAGCAAGCCTTGGAGAGCAAGGTATTGTGCAGAACCCTTCCCTGGCCTCTGCATCAGTTTCTGCCTCCACTTTGGGGCCCTATTTGTGGTCCTGTCCTGCCTTTCTCTTGTGTTTGGAAGTGTGAGCCATATAAACACATTTTCTTACCCAAGACAGCACAGTTCATCATACCAGTAATAACCCTAATAAGGACAGCATCCCCAGAAACTGCAGTTACTTTTGCAAGCCCTTAGTTAGTTCACAAGGGTACCAAGGAGCAGCTGGATCCAGCATGTGCTCTCTTCAATTCCTGATCAATCCTCCAACTGTTACACCCGTTCTCTGTGCAGCACTCCCTGTGCCTGGCCATACTGAGCACATGTTAGGAACTTCCAGAGGGAGAGGGAATGATGTAGTGGAGGGAGCAGCCAGCCTGAGCATGGAGCAACCAGCCTGAGCATGCAGTCACCCAGGAAATCTGTGAAGATATTCCTTGAAATGTAGAGAGAGCCTATGTTGTTGCCACCATACCCTCCCCTATGGAGTGTTCCCAGGAAGGAAGGTCTCAGTGCCCATCTCTGGCCTGACTTCCTGCCTTCTCTCTGGCTCTAAAATGCCCGGCCTGCATTTGCTGTGCACTGAGGATATTGAGTCATGAGGGGGTCCACCTACAAGGCTTGCTGGCTCACACCACTGAACCCACAGGGTGCCTCCCACCAAACCCCTCATGCTTTCATTGCAGACATGGGGTAGGTCCCTTCCAATGCCTTGCTTCTTTAAAGGAAGCCAGGGTTCTGTCACGGCTTCCTCTGAGTTCATCTCCTGTTCTTTCACTGTCAGCGCAGTGCCCCTCACAGATGTTCGCCTTTCTGTCATTAACTAAGTATGGTAAACATTCTCTGGCACTGGAGCATTGTCCCTTATTTCAGAGCAATGTTTACTTTACATATCAGCAAGGGAAAGCCCCTCCTCTTCTTCCTTTCTTTCCTACAATACCATTCTTCCAGGCGAGTCTACTTTGCCTTCCCTAAAGTGTTGAGTTGAGCCTCCAGGCCCTGTGGCTGCATTCCAGGTAGTTCTGAGCAGACTCACCCAGCACTGGGTTGAGATCCCTCCCCACCACCAGTACCACATGTAGCCAAGGCAACTCTCTTCTGGAGCTGTGACTCCTTGCTGGAAAGGTGCTCATTTTGCTTTCTATTTCCTTGTTTCCATGCTTCCCATTGATGGTGAGCAGTAGGGACCTTGTGATTTGCTCACCCGTGTAACACACAGGTCCAGTGGACTCATACCTGAGGTAACTCATACACAGTGTGTGAACTCTTGAGCTCCTTTCCAGTGAAATGACATAAGGTAGTCATTGTGGAGGAGTGACAAGCAGGAAAGGAATCAGCAGCCTCCTTGATAACATCCGGAGGGGAGGGGGGGACATGGCACCTCTGCCAAATCTGGAGGGCTGAGGGTCATGGCACCTCTGCCATATGTGGAGGTTAGAGTGGGGCATGGCACCTCTGCCACTTCTGCCCTGCACATCCACAGATAACACCAGGGAGGGTGCATTGCCCTTATGTTTTGACCCCTCTGGTTGTGTCCAGCATGAACTTCTTTGCCATGGCCCTGGGCTTGAAGGCTTTTGACCACAGAGTATCCCTGCAAGGCTGAGTCGAGACCCTGTGTCCTGCTGAAGAAGTCTGTCTTTGCAGTATTAGGCAGCCCACTTCATCTTGACTGGGTCTGTTTTCCCATGCAAGCCTACCATGACCATTGTTGGGATCCTAGAAGCCTGTCTCTGGCAGTGATATGAGTTTGGGCTGTGGTCAACCTGGCCTGCAGGCCCCCCACCTCGAAATAGTGACACACACACATTAGAGAAAATGCGCGGAAATTGTCCACGAAGTGCCTGGTATTCTACGTACTCAGTAAAGGACAACTTGATAATCTTGCTAGCCTTGGGAATCCCCCATTCCTCTCCTGCCCAGTCTTTGTCTCTCCCTGCCTCTCTCTACCTCTTTCTCCCCTTAACAAGGCCTTGTTGCCCAATCCTCCAGAGTGTTCCAGGCCCCAGGTGTTCAATCCTTGTCCTTTATCCTTGCAAATTGAAACTGCAGCATTCCCACTGCTTTCTTTGAAAGGCTGCAGGGGTGGGACCAGCCCAACCTTCAGATTTACTGAACCAAGGCCAGGTAGCTTGCTGTCTCATCTCCTCAGAATTCAAGGCTGAAAGAATTTGGGTCATTATTACAATGAGCATGCTCTTTTGCTCACCCTCTTCCACGAGTCCCCTTTCCTGGTTCTCTCCCAGTCCTGTCATTCATCTCACCCCCACTGGGAACTTGCCCCACCCCCTCCCCTCAGTTTTTACTCCACCAGCAGACATGTCACTTTGAAGTACTTCAGCAGTGTTCTGGAAGGACTCAACCTGCAGTGAGATGAGCCTAGCCCCTTGAAGGTTCCTACCCCTGTGCACAGCTGGTCACCCAAGTCCCACTTTCCACATTCAAGCTGAACAGTACTTCCTACTGAAGCTTTTGGGATCCCAGCAGTGAAGTCTGGCACAGTGGAGCTGGAGGCATATGCCTGCTCTTTCTCCCGTGTTGGGATTCTTCTGCTCTGGGGTCTTCATGATGCTCTTGGCCTGTACACACAGATAACCTCATCAGGCCATTGGATCTTTATGCCCAAGGGAGCTGTCACAGACTCAGGCAGGTTTTAAAAGGACATAAATCACATCTAGCCCTGAGCTAGCTGGCACTTCTGTAAAACTGGTCTACTGATCATCATGGCCTGGCAGGGACACAATGTGACACTCCTCTGGAAAGCATGAAGTGCAGTAGAAACCTGCCACGGGCTCTCCTAATTCCTAGATGACTTTCCTGGGGTGCAGAGTCTGCTTAGAGGAACCTCTGTGCAAGGGGGAGATTCTGTGCTCCTCCATGGGTTTGGCGGCAGCAGGCTGAACATTCACGTTTCCTTTGAAGACAGAGGCCCCCGTGAGTATGCACTGGCAAGCCATAACAGGTGGTAGGGTGACCTAGACAGAGTTCAGAACTCTGGGAATGTGAAGAAAGACCGGGGATCTTGTCTCAGGCCTGTCACTTGAGTCACTCTGACCCAGAAAGCCTCCTGCTGCCCTCTCCTGGATTCCCTGGCTGCCCACCTCTTGAGGTAGACTGACCAACATGTACCTTCAGAGGCAAGGACAAGCCTCTTGCTTGATTCTCTGGCACTTCCTGCACCTTGGAAGGTCCTCATCATATGTGCTGGGAGCTGCTGAAGCTTGTTTCATGGGCTCTGCTTTGGGTGAAGCCTTCTTAGCCTGTAGACTGCAGGCTGTGGGTTTGGGCTTTACAGAAAAATCATTTGCCTCCCTGCCCTGTTCCCAGTGACTGGGCCTTGTACTCAGCTCCCAGCCAGGTGAAATTGTAGGGGAGCAGGGTAGAATGTATCTTGGCCTCTGTGGTTCGTGTGGCATGCTTGGGTCAGCACCTGTCCTTTGTGTTCCCTAGAAGGAGGCTGCAGTCTGTTTCCTTAGTACTTTCCTTGTGGTAAATGTGGTCAGTTCTAGATGTGGAGCATTCCCCTGCACTTTCTCAGCCAGGTAGCTGAGGAGAATGGGGAAGAGGCTCCTGTATCTCCACATCTGCACTTACCACATGTCCTCAAAGGGAAAGGGAAATCCCAACATTACCTTGACCCTGAACACACATATACACACATCCTCACACACACACACACACCCACACACACGTGTGCACACATACAGTGAGTGATCATTTTAAGCAGTGTGCAGAGCATGAAACTCTGGCACCTGAGAAACTCATAAGTGTCCTTGGTGTGAAGTTCCAGGTGGAATCTTCTCTCAGGCTCCTCCCACATTTGGAATACCACATGCTTCAGAGCCTTTCTCCCCAGTGTCCCAGCTCATCATGGCTATTGATTTTATTATCACTGCTGTATTGTAAGCTGTGGCACCCAGCCTGTGAGATACTGACTCTCTTCCTCTCACCTCCTTCCTCACTATGTGTATCTCTCTAGCAGCACCTGAAAAGTTCATTGAGGAATTTCTCGTTCCCTAATTTTCTATGTTGCCCTCAGTGACTCCAGATTTACTCCTGCACCCCAATATTACCTTGAGAACTCAGATTGACATAGTCTCCAAAATTTTCTCATTGTCTCCTTTTCACTTTGTTGGTCCCCACACCAATGTATTTTCCTGCTATCCTCTGAAGATTATTCCCATGCATTCCTAATTTTATAGTTCCCTAGAACATATTCAAATATTTGCCAATGGCTTTAATTTCAAGGTGAGTTAACATTCCAATGAAATACCTTGTACCAAAATATATATCGTATTAGCCCTTCCTAATCTCTTCTACATTCTCCAAGTGTTCCTTCTTTTTCTAGGCATCCTATGATACCCTCCCTTCCTTTTCTATTCCCACAGCTGATGTCATCAGCATGTCTAACTTCTTACTATGATCATTCCCTTCAACCCTTACTTCATTTCCACTTTCCCCCTCCCACACAGTCGAAAACTTTCTTGGAAACTACATGCTATCTGCTAAGGAGTGTCCCTAGAATCCTCACTTAACAGGTGGACAATAAACAAGAAAACATCCTATTTACTATTCTTTTATTTATGCTATTTGCACAGTGAGCATATATATCCACAGATGTTTCTTTACAAGACTTCAAACACAAAGGTAAGACAGAACGAGTCTGTTATTTTCCCTCACTCACATTGTACTGGGTATTCCAAACTGTCAAAGAGCAGCTCCTTTCTTCCCAGAACATGACAGAAGGTCTTCATTTGATGAGGTTAGCACAGCTGTTGTAGCAAATGTCAATGACAGGAAAAATAACAAACATTTTCTTAATCAACAGTGTTATAAAATGAATACAAGATTTCAATATATAAAGCAAACACTACTTCGCAGTTTAACAATTAGCACTGATCACAAATACCAAATACAGTGCCCTCCCCACCCTCCACATCATGATTTCAGGACCCTGCCTATCTACTCCACGGAGTACTTTGGATTCTCTTTTCCACTCCTTAGGGTCTACCTTGGATCTCTCTATGGAGTGGAATAACCCCTAGCACCTGAATTGAGTATAGCCTCGACCTCTGCATCATCATCTGAATCCCAGTCATAGTTACATGGCCAGTCTTTGGAGCATCGGTTCCGAACTCTTGCCACAAAATGCATGACTTTCAGCTTGCTCGATTCCACGTGTGCTCGAGGGCCCCAGAAGAACTCGTACTCCACTGGACTGCTGCGAGGCACTGGCTTATAAAGGAGATACCCTCTGCGAACAAACTCTTCTGTAACGACCTTCTTCGGATCTCCAAAGATGCTGTGCTGCCTCCCGGGCTGCATCCCTAACTTCCCCAGCACTTTCCACACCAGAGCCTCCTTGGCGCTGTTGCCCATGATGAAGATGAGGGCTAATATGGACATTAGGAGACTTTTCTTGGTGCCCTGAAAATTGCTCCGGGTAACAGGTTTTTGCACCAGGGCAGTGCTCGCAGCCTCTGCAGGGGTAGTGGAGGCCTTCTCCGGAGTGCTTGTGTCTTCCTCAGGACCGCTCAGGTAGTCTTCGGGTGTGCTCGGGACCACAGAAGCCGCCATCGGGGTCTTAGAGGCCTCTGAGGCCTGGATCTTGCGATTGTTGCGATTCTCTTCGGCTGCCTTTGCGTTCCGGCGGCGCCGACTCTTCCGTCCCCGAGGCATGGCTCCTGCCAAGCGCTAAAAGCCTGCAGCAGTTCTGGGGGAGGCTATCTGCAGCGTCGGGGTAAAAAGTGGCTCTCTTAGGCAGGGACAGCCACCAAACCGCGGACGCCAGATGAGTCTTTGTAGCAAGGAAGCCACAAAGCTTTCGGCCACAAAGCCTTGTCCCTGACAAGCAGACTTGCGCAATCAGTCGCCGCCCGCATTCGCCACAGCGCCAAGCGCGCGAGAAACGGAGCAGCACTGGCCCCGCCTCCCTTGCCACGCACACGCCGAACACCCAAGAGGAAGTGGGACGATCCCGCACAGGAACTTCCGCTAGCAGAAAGGAAAAGGCGTGGGCTGCATTTTGGGTCCCGCAAGGGTAGTTATAACACAGCTAAGGGTTGGCGGGGATTTGTCCTGCGCATAGGGGAGCAGAATCTCGGTATTCTTTAGGCAGGTGCACATATTATCCCTTTGGCTAATAGGTTTTGGCAAGCAGTAGGCCCCTCCATTCTCACCAAAGGCTGGCTGAGGGGGAGGGGGAGGGGCGCTGCAGAGCATAGTCTTGCAAGGGGTCAGCTGACCCCTGCGCTCCTTAGCTGTCTTGGCTTACGCAGCACATTCATTCTCCCCCTAGGTTTTTTCAGAAGGCGTTTATGTGTGGCTAATTAATTCGTGGGCCCATGAGGGACCCGAATAATAGACTTAATGACCAAAGCGGTGGGTGAGGGGAGGAGATGGGAGTGCAAAGCCCTCTAGCAGGGCTCAAGAGGCGCAGAGCCTGTACAGTGCTGCTGGTTGGCCTGGGCAATTAAGCGGGGCACCGAGAAGATCAGACTTAGATGTGCGCAGCCTCACGGAGGGGCTGAATACTTCCTGGCAGGCCACAGAGGAAGCAATTAGAATAAGAAGCAGCTGGATGAAAGTGAGCTTTAAGGCTGTTGCCATGGGGACTGAGAGACAGAAAGGCATTTGAAGGGAGACCACTGGCAGGCTTCAGACAATGGATGGGAATGGGGAGCAGAGAGATGGTCCAGTGCAGTTGGATCTTCGCTTTCCAGGCCAGCGAGCTAGCATACCTGCTTCGTTTCCCCCGGTGCACACTCTGCCCTTTGTCCACTCCTTCTTCTTGCTCAGATTCCTCTGCCTGAAACGCCTTCCCTCCATTCTGTGCTATCTAAGTTCCACCTGTTTGCTCACAGGCGTCTTCCTCGCTGAAGTTTATTTTGGCCTGCTCCAAAGAGTAATGAGTCAGTCCTTGCTCCCCCAAGGGAGGCCCCATGGCTAGGCATTCTGCTTTTCTTGTGTCACTTGAAGCGTGAACTTGCTCAGAGCCTGCCTCCCCCACCCCCACCTCTTTAAAGTCGATGTAACTCAAGTACTGTCTACAGAGAGTTGTGTGAATTCAATGAAAAGCCTTTACTGCATAGCAAGCACAGGCTTTGCCTCTAAGTGTGTTTCAAGCAGCAGCAGGTGAGAGTGGCATTTAATAAATGCATGTTGAAGGAATATGTGATGGAAAAGATTTTACATGTGGTTTTTTTAAAAAGCCATGTTTTAATTTGTGTGTGTGCAGACGTGCATGCCATGTGTGCTGTACACGAGGGGCTAGCAGAGGGCGTGGGATCCTCTGGAACTGAGTTACAGGTGGTCGCCATCTGCTTGCTGTGGGTGCTGGCAAGTGCTCCTAACTGTTGAGCCTGCTGCAGCCCCTCCTGTGCCGTGTGCTCTTATTTCTTAAAGGGCAAATGGATACTCGGTACTTGTTTAGAAGGGATGAAACATGTGCTTGACAGAGTCTCCATCTGTAATGCAACTGAGGAAATGACCCTGTGGGGCTCACAGACTTTGACATCTCCCAGCATTTTGGTGGAGTTGGTGGAATCGGATGTGGCTTTATCTAGTGCATGAACTCTGTGTGGTGGGGCAGTGTGTCACTGGCAAAAGCATTGCCAGCAGAACTTCACCCAGTGAGGCCCATACTCCTGTGTGTGTGGAAAGGAGATGGCTATTGGAAAGGAACAGTCACTGAAAGCAGAGCTGGGCACTTCAATTTGGGGCCAGATTTATCAGTTCCAAGCCCTTGATGAGTTTATTGTGTATCCCAGTTCTCTGACTTGTTCAGTACAATAAAAGCTTGCTGTGAGTCTCAATGGCAATTAACACTTCACACTAGTCATTTTCCAGATTGTTTTCCTTTTATTTTATATTTGTGATGATAATATAATTACAACATTTCTCCCTTTCTTTTCCTCCCTCCTTCAAGACTGTCCCATATGTCCTTCCCTACTGTCCTTCCAATTCAGGACTCCATTTTTCACTAGTTGTTCTTGAATGCATATATGTGTATTCATAATAGGTGTATATTTTTAAATATACCCTGTTCATTCTCTATAATGTTACTTGTATGTATATTCTCAGAGCTGACTATTTGGCACTGGACAACCAGTTGGTGTGCTCTTCCGTGGGGAAGACTTTTTCTTGTGCTCTCAGCTTTTCTTAGTTGATTATAGTTCTTTGTGTAGGATTGAGACTTCATGAATTTTCCCCCATCCACTTTCCAAGTTCATTGGTGTCATCCTTGTTCAGTGTCTGGGCTGTCATGTTGGTGAGACTTTATGGGGTTGGATTCTGATATTACTAGGAGACACAATCTCACAGCAAATTCCCTAACCCTTTGGCTCTTACAATCTTTATGCCCCCTTTTCTTCATTGTTTCCTGAACCATTAGAGAAGGTTTCCTTGACTTGGGATTTATTATATATTATTCATTCATTGCCATATTTGTGATTCTGTATATGTAGATTATGTAAACTTTGGATAATTTCTTTCCAATTTTGACAGTCCACACAAGAATGTAATTCCTAAAGTTCACTTTCTTACTGAAATTTCCTTATATAGACAAAGTAGACTACTACTTCCTACTTGGTAAAGTAATTTGGGATATATTGAATACTGCACTCCCTTCTGCCACACTAGTGAATTGAGGGGAAGTACTATTTTCCCCTGTCTTTACTTAGTTGAATCATTGTTTCACTCCACAAGGACACAGCAACTCTGAACAACATGATAGATAGAGCAGATAAATAATGTACAACCTAGGGCCTCAACTCCCATCTAACTTTTCCAGAGAAGTATGTGGGAATAGGGCTTAGGCTCTAGGCCCTTTCTGCTAAGCCATGAAAACTGATTTCCAGAGTGTTTCCTGGTTATTTATCTAGAGGAAAGCAATAATATACAGGTTTAAAGACATGGGCTCCAAAGGGAGATTTCTTGGGCTCAGTTCCAGATTCTGCCATATATGAGATTAAAATCCTTGGGACATTGCTGAACCATTGCTATCTATAAAATCATGGAGACTACTTGTCAGGTAGTTTCCTTTGGAAGGGATTAAATTAGTTATTATAAAATAGTTCAGAATTAAATATTAGTGACAACAATAGCTCTGGGTCAGAAATTTTACTTATGAGAGCCCTATTTATATAACATCTATTATGTGTTAGCAATTGATCCAAACTCATTGAAGTTTTGAGAATGAGTTTACAGTCTATTAGTAAAAACAGTTTAAAAGCTTAGCCTTAAAAAAAAATCTTTTACATCTAGTGTAAAAGATGCTGCGTCTGACTAGCAGAACCATCAATGACACATTCAAGCATCAAGTAAGAGATATCAAATTAATTGAGTGTAATAGGGAATGGTATATCTAAATAAATAAGTCAACATTGGGCTAAAACCTTAATGCTTAATGGGAGTTATGCAATAGAAAAGGGAAATGGTTGCATACAAACAGATATTTGAGGAGCTGAAAGCCAAAATGAGCAGAGTTTCAGTGATTGGAAACTAGTCTATAGGCCATATTTTAGGTTCTTTGTCAGTGTGACGTGATGATCTTGAGGCATATATAGACTTTGTAGTTTATAATATATATGCTGTATAGTCATACCATAATTTATTGTACTATTCCCCCACTGCTAAACATATTTCCTAACTTATAAAAGCAGCATTTCATACAATTTGTGCACTTGTCAACTTATTTGTGTTTCTTATCATAGAATTAATGTTTTGAATGGTTTTGTACATGTAAAGCATGATGAAAGGCTTATTTCCTTGAATAGTTGTGTCCTTTCTTAGTAAGCATCACCAGTAGTGAATGAAAAGTATGGTTTTCACCACATCTTCATCTTCCCTAGCAATCTGATTAGCATAAATAAAGTACACATACTAAAATTGTACAATTTGATACATTTTAACTTATGTGTATAACTGTTACTAGAAATAAGATAATTGTTGCATTCTTTTAGAATATTTTTAATACATTTGTTTAGTGAGGGGTGCACATGTGCTATGACATGCTAATAGAAGCCAAAATAACTTCCACTATGTGGTACATGGGGATTGAATTATGTTTTTCAGGCTTGGAGACAAGCATCTTTACTCAACCCACGGACCCATCTTACCAGCCCAATTGTTAAATCATTCATCATCAAATTTCTCCCAGCTTTGTTATAGCTGTCTCCTTGTTGATTTTCTCCACCTCTCCTCCGTCCAAGGCACAGTTACCAGCTTTATCACAAGAGATTACATTACATTACATGTAATTTATGGAAATAAATTCAAAAAGTAAGTGCTTTTCTAACTTTTAGAATTTTTAAATTGTCTTGAATTACCATACAAAGTAATGGGGTTCATAATTTAATTGTCACAGCTTCATAAATATATGCCATTAGGTTTTGTTCTTTTTTCTTTTAATATTTCAATCTTTCTTTAAGATTTATTTATTTATTATGTTTACAGTGTTCTGCCTGCATGTATGCCTGCAGGTCAGAAGAGGGCACCAGATATTGACAGATGGTTGTGAGCCACTATGTGGTTACTGGGAATTGAACTCAGGACCTCTGGAAGAGCAGCCAGTGCTCTTAACTGCTGAGCCATCTCTCCAGCCCCTCAGTCTTTGTTTTTTGTTTTTGTTTCTTTTAATTTTTGAGAATATAGTATAATTACGTTTCTCCTTTCCCTTTCCTCCCTCCACACCCTTCCATATACCCCTCCATGCTTTTCTTCAAATCCATGACCTCTTTTTTTTCACTAATTGTTATTGCATACCCCCCAACTCTGTTACCCACTCCTCTCCTAGGTCTTGCTTTCCCCTTCCTCCTGAAATACTTTTTCCTCCTTTCATGCCATACATTGTCCCCTCTTATTCCACACTCACTCATCTCTCCCTCTAGACACCTTCCTTAGCATAACTTCTTCTCTGCTTT